CTCATAGGTTATATACATTTATACGGTAACATATGTGGACTAAGTGGGAGATTGTTGGGATATTATTTAATTTGTCATGTTGGTTGACATATGTAATTAAATGTGTATATATATTATCTTAAAGTTAAGCCCAAAATTAAAGTGATCTAATAAAGAATTAAGTAATTGGGCTTTAAGCATCTAATTAAAGTGTGGGCCGGACTATATGTGTAGAGACCGGATCCATTAGGGTTTTGTATTCGACGATGGGCCGAATACATATGGAAATATATAAAGGGTTNTTTGGACATCTAAATAAAGTGTGAGTCAGATTATATGTGTACAAATTGGATACATTAGGGTTTTTATTTGACGATGGATCGAATACATATGAAAATTGTATATAGTGTTATGATCTCCAATTCATATGTAATTTCCATTCTTTGTGACATCTCATCAACACAAGAATTAGTAGAGAAAGCATATTGAAAATGAATATCAAAAATCTACAATCAAGAATCAAGAAAAAGGATTGAAAAAATTAAATTAAAAAACAAGAAATCAAGATTTAAAGATCAAAATTTAAGATTCAAAATTTATTATTCAAGATACAAATCAATGGATCAAGGTACATTCTGCATTAATTAATTTTCTTGATGATTTAACATGGAGATCTTGACAATTCATAATATTTTATAAAGTTTAAGGTTCATGGAAAAATTCAACACGTACCTGTATCGTATTCTTATTATGTATCTAGATTTGTACTTCTTAGGATATCAAATTTATCTATTAACAGGGGCGGATCCAGCACCCGGCGAGCCTTGATAGCCGATTAGTTGCNTTCTTAGGATATCAAATATATCTATTATCAGGGGCGGATCCAGCACCCGGCGAGCCTTGATAGCCGTTTTGTTGCTGGATTCGCCAGAACATTTTTTTTTTTTTTTACAGTGAATAAATTTTTTAGATGATATACCTAATAATTTGTTTTAGCTTCAAACATTTCTTGTAGCTCAACTAGTTAGAGTTGCTATATTCATATAGGAAGTCTCGATTTCCATTTATTTCTCACCCTTTTTATTGTGAAAGATTTTTAATTCTTTAATTTTTACCAAAATTAAATAGGACAAGGAGATGAGAATTGAAACCTTGACCTCTCCTCAGGTCATTGAGAACTTGACTATTATGATGTTCACTAAATTTGAAACTAAACTAACCAGAATAATATATATTGCATTTTAACGGGTTTAATGCAATTCTAAAAATTTGATTACGTGTTCTTCCTTTGGATTATACAAAACTTGACAACAATATCATTTGGTGAATATTG